ATGCCCCTCAGCAGGCGGAACGGGGGCGGGACCCGATGACCAGGGAGCCGCCCCTGCCCGCCGACCCGCCTCCAGGCCCTCCTTCCCAGGATGGTGCCCCGGGCACCTCACAGCCACCCGCTCCAGGAGCTCTAGGTCACAACTCAGGGTGTGCATACAGCCCCCAGCCCCCTCTACGACGGCCTGCCCTGCTGCAGCACACCACCACGGACCCCCTGAGAGGATAGCTGTATTGAGGCCCTTCTAGACACCAACAAGAAGAGAAAGGGCCATCCAAAAGGGACAGATTTCAGCCAGGAAAAAAGCGGCCCAGCTTGCACCCTCCCCTCCCCAAAAGCAAAGAACCTCAGACCTGTCCCAGGTGCTCAACACACGCCTGAGCCCCGGTGAAGACACTGCAGGGTAGTTGCTCCCTCCGCTCTGGCCAGCAGGGTTCTCTTCTGCCAGAGTGGAGGAACAGCAGCCAGACCCAGAGAGGGCTCCCACGTTCCTAACCATTGCCAGGCTGCGTTCAGCTCAGCTTGTTCAGGGAAGCCTGTAGGCTCTGCAGGCTCAGTGGCAACGGTAGGGGTCCTCAAAGGGCTGCACCACCAATTAGCCCAAGTTGAGGCCAAGGATGAGCAGTAGCTGTGGCAACCAAGAAAGCAAGGCAGGTGGGCACACTGGTCCCAGTGGTCTGGGTTCTGGTAGACAGCAAAGAAGCTCCTGATTCACCCTGACTCCAGGACTCAAAAGGTGAAGGTGGCCAGGCAGAAGCCCTCACCCCAGGCCACATCTACAGGCAGAACTGCCCAGGACAGGGATGGGGTGGGAGGATCTCCAGAGGTACCCATTCCACCCCCACCCCCTCTAGGTGTCACCCCTAAGGACAGCAGAGACCCCAGTATCAGTTGTTGGGCCAGATGCAGATGACAGGGTGGAATATGCCACACCCCAAATGAACCCCGCCCCAGAACTCCAACCCAGTAACTCCTAGATGTGAAGTGCACCCTGTGGGTGTGTCTCAGGGCAGGGGCAGGTGGGCCAAATAATACCCTGCCCAGGGCTGTCAGACCCTCCTCACTCGTGGGGCACCCTGTTCCGGGTGGCCTCACCCTCCTGAGGCCTGACAAGAGTGCTGCCAGAGGACTCCACCTGTCCTGCAGAGGGTGGGCTCCACAGAAGCCACCAGCTCTCTGGCCTCAATGGCCCACAGACTACCTCCAAAGTCATGTACCTAGGCTCCCCAGCACCCCCAATTCTAGCCCCCTGGAGAGGAGGCTCAGACCAGGCTGCAGGCTCTTCTCACCTAGCCCCCAACTCATCCTGCCAGGCCCTGGAACAGTGACCCATGCAGGGACCCTGAGCAGGGCAAAGGGTACAAATTTTGCTGTTCCCAGGGCTTCATAATGAAATCCCAAAGGCTAGCCTGGGGTGTTTTCTCAGGGGTGCAGCAGGATGCTGCTGGAGCAGGGTGGGCAGAGCTCTCCTGGAAGCATGTGCTCCCTGGGCCCACAAAGGGGCATTTCTCCTTCTGCCCAAGGGAGACACACCAAGGGCATCCAAGTGTATTCTTCACTGACTTCAAGGCAGGAAGGGCCACCACCACCTCTAAGACAACACAGAAAAACCACCACACACACTTGGTCCAACAGGACAAAAGTCACCTTTTATTTGGGTCAGTGCAGGCAACACGCTGTGGGCACCACAGGGTCCATCTCCACTGACCAGGAGCTGTTCAAAGTTGAGATGTCACAGAAAATAATGTTAGGTCCACTCTAAGTCTGCTAGCACTCTGCCCCAAGAGCCTCAGGAAACTGGCACCAACGGCCACCAAGGTGCCCTTGAGTGTCTGGCATCCAGCACAGGAGTGCATGTGGGCCTTGGCCACATACAGGCACCTCTGGGACCACAGCCCCAGGCCAGGCACATGCACAGACACAGGGTCAGGGACCTGCTGGGAGGTGAGGCCCTGCCACAGGCCCTCTGTCTGAACTGCCAGGTGAGAACTCATATCTGCACTAACACAGCACACACAGTGTGGGTTCAGGAACAGAGGGACAATGAAAGGTTTTTCACAAGAGTGGGTCAAATACATAACAAGTGGTAAATGACAGAGCAATTTTAAATAAATTGACCAGAAAACAAAGCAGAGAGGAGCACACAGGTGTGCTCCAGCTCTACTGTTCAACACTGGAACAAGGAGGGCACCAGTGGTTACGTGTCCACCCTTGGACACAGCAGCACTGCCCCCATCTGGTGCCTCACAGATGTTGGTTTTCTGTGATGCATCTTCTGAACATGGATGCAGGTGGTGTCACTAAAACGAAAGACTGAAAAAGGAGATGAGGGCCACACAGGAAGTTACAGATGCCAGACTGAGACCAGACCAGCTGACACTAGGTATGCCCAGGCCAGGTCCCCTTTGAGCCTCCTGGGCAGGTCTCCTTTGTGATCTGATCTGGAGGTGTGGGCCATCACAAAAGAACTGGGAGCAACAGGAGGGTGTACACAGTACCAGCCCGCAGAGCCTTGGGTTTCCACCCTTCTGCACAGGAGGAACAGGCTCTGGCCAACTGGGCATGAGAATTCAGAGAAAAGGCTCTGCAGGACCCAGGACCTGCAGCCCCACAGCACCGAGAAGCTAGAAGGAGGCAGATTAGAGTGAGGCTGAGGTACTAAGGGCCAGTTCTAAAGACCACCCTGCCTCCACACTCGCCACAGGGGCTTTAAGTAAAGCGTGACTCTGTGGCCAGAGGAACAGCAGTCTTCTACCATGGCAGAAAAATGAACACGCACTTTGTAGAAGGAATCTGTGTCATTCTAAATGACCACAAACACATTTTTATGAGTCCAAACCTCTCCTGGACCCCTGTCCATGGTTGTCACCAGCCAGCCAATGTGGCCCTACCACCTGGACAGTGTTCGCAGTGCCGGCACCACCCCACCACCCTCTAGCTCCAGCCTGCAGGGAGTCAAGAGCTCCACTAAGGATGCACGCAGACTAATAGACAGGCATTGAATTTTATATTTTTAAGTGACCAAATCTAATAAAATGAAAAACAGGTTTACTAAACAGGTCCAAAAGACAATACAGGAAATAAGCTATAAAACCAAAGCATGAGTCACCCTCAGCGATGCCAGCCCCCGGTAGACACCTCATTGGGTGAGAAGAGAAGCTGAGGATCTTGTGTTTCCTTCAAATCACACATTTTGGTTTTTGCTTTCCTTTTAACGTTTTTAAAAAGTGAAACCCAGGAGTCTGGTGGGCCTGCCCTGGCTCGGCAGCACGTCCCACTGGCCCAAGTCAAACTCTGGCACCTGCGTCCCCCGCAGCAACTGGACTGTGGCTCACTCTTGCGCTATGCTCCTCAGCACGTACTTGACCGTGTAGGCAAAGGCTGCAAACCCAACTATAACAAACAAGTTCGCCAGGGCACCACCCAGGAGTCCATGGTGCCGGTTGGCCTGCTGGAGCCCTGCGAGGTTTGGGCCGGCACCAGGAGCATGCCCATTGAGAAGCTGGATCCCATTCTGGCCGTGGTGGGTTTCCCCATCGGGAACCACGTCTGGCAGGGGGAGAGTCTGCGGCCTGCTACTGAGTTCATCTTGTGCTTTCTGTTTTTGTTTCATTTCCTAAGAGAAAAACACAAGAAAGGTCGGTCGGTCTGAACAAATCAGTCCCCTTAGGAGCTGCACTCCAGGTCTTGGGGCCCAGAGTTGTCCTTAAAACAGAAGGTCTCCATTCCACATGCCAAGTCCTGACATCCAGAAGCGGGCATGGCTCCTGACACCAATTCATGGGAAGGGGAAAACCAAGCAAGCCGGCAAAATCTCTGCCCTGTGCAACTCAGCCAGGGCAGAGTGATGCAGCATCACTTCTCGCAGCCACAGCCACACTCTCCACTCTAACCCCAAGACCAGGGGCACTTGGCCTCACAGGGCACAACATCCCAGCATGGATGCCCCTCCATGCCCTGCAGCCCTTGGAGGGCCTGAGGTCCCTCAGGGAGGTGGCAGGAACACATTGGAACTCACACACATCTGAGTTCCAACTTTCACTTTCTTACCTCCACAACTTCAGGAAATAATTCACAAAAAACTTTATCTTTTAAATTAAACGCTAAACTCTGTGCTGCCAGTTGTCTTTTCTAAAAAGAAAGAAAGAAAGAAAGGAGAATATCAGCCAGAAAGCTAATTTTAATTCCTTAAAAATTCTAAAAATAGACTATCTTCATGCTTTAGAAAGCAACAAGCTTGTTCTTCACAACAAACCAATCTCATGAAGGCTTACTGATCTTTTCCTTATTGGTAACGTGAAACTTGATTCCTTTTTTTTTTTGAGACAGGGTCTCAAAAAACTATGTAGTTCAGACTGCCCTGGAACTCACTACGTAGCCCAGGCTGGTCTCAAACTCAAAGCGATCCTCCTGCCTCAGCTTCCCAAGTGCTGGGATTACAGGCTTGCAACTCCACACCACACATTTGATTCCTATTCTTATTTACTTGTTTGTTTGTTTGTTTGTTTAGTGGTACCAAGGCAGGAGACAGAACCACTGAGCTAAATTCCCAGTCCTTGATTCCTATTCTTAAAACAGAAGAAAACAAGCTAACAAGAAGGGACAATGTGCTCCCCCACTCCCTAAGCCGCCCTCAAGCTCTCTGAGGCTGTGAGCCAGTTTTCACATGGATAAATGCAGGGTCTAAGGAAGGTGTGGTGATGGCACATGCAAGTAATCCCAGCCACTCCAGGAGCTGAGTTTGAAGCCACTCTAGGACAATTTAGCAAGACTGTCTCAAAAAGTGTGTGTAGGAGCGATGCTGGGGATGTAGCTCAGTGACAGAATAATGCCCCTACCATGCACAAGGCCCTGGCTTCCATTCCCAGTACTAAGGAAACAAAACAAAACGAAACAAAATAAACATGGTTAGGAGGCAAGGGCAGACAGTGCAGCAGGTGGCAAGCAGCCCAGAGCACAGCAGGCTCCACAAGGGGAAGGAACATGGACCAGTAGAAGCCCACACAAGGAAAGAAGCAGCTGAGTGTCTGGGGAACACAGCCAGCCTCAGATGAGAGGCCAAAGGCCACACAAAGCCAGGTGAGGTGTTGCTACTCCTCACCGTAAAGTCTGATGTCTCTATACTGCCCAGGGTGGGGCCTTTTTCCACCATGAAGCTCAGCAGTCCGGTCAGAATTGTAGAGACAGACCAGGCTGGGTTCCACGTATCAGGATGGAAGTCCGTGATGGAGAGACACAGTCTGCAGGAGAAGAGTTAGATGAGCAGGTGTGCACACCCGAGCTAGGCTGGCAGAGCACCACAGCACCAGGAAACTTACCTTGTGTTGCACTTAAACCTTCCATTAGGTGTTATCATGTAAATACTAGGAGGCTTAAAAGGAAATTCTCTGGGGAAAATCAGCTTTCCATGATAATAGCCACCTACAACAAAACAGAAAGGAAAGTCGCTATCACCTACTGTGCCACAGGACAGCTCAGGTCTCCAACTGGCTTCCACCACCACTGGCCTCACTGCTGGCTCTGTCCACAGCTGACCCCCTCTCCTGATGTCCCCAAACACCCTAGAAGCTCAAGACCACCTCACCCTGCCACAACACACCCCTCCCTGAACCCACTCCTCCCCTCCCCTCCCCGGTCCCAATCCAGGGACTCCCTGGCTCCCAGTGCCCAATTCCCCCGCTAACTGTACCCAGAAGCCAACACATTCCACACCTGAAACAAAGTTACACTAGACCCCACATTACTCCAACTTCTACCATTTGCTCTTTCATCTCCTGTAATGTCCCTGTAGCTATGTTCACAGAGGCTTTCTCCACGGTCTCAGCCTTCACAACTCCAAGTCTACCTACTCAGATTTAGGCCCCCATCACAGGCTATAGTTCAAACCTGAACTTGACGCCACCCACATGTCCTCAACTGGGGTCTGATCATAACTCAGCAGCATGACCTTACTGGGGAGTCCTCTCTCACAGAACCTGCACCCACTTGTGGCTGCCCTCAAGTGTCCCATGATTGCTCCCCAACCGGCACAACCCCAGGCCTTGGGACCTACCTTTCAAACTCTAGATCAATACAATAACCATTCATACTACACTGCCTTAGACACAAACATTCAGGACAGAATTCCTTCTATTTCCCAAGCAGCTATTCTCAGTCCTTCAGACTAAAACATAGGAGGCCCCACCCAGCCCTACTCAGCAATCCTATTGACCAGATGAGCTTCGAGGCCAGCCAGTGAGCTCTCAGAGGGACAGCCCTGCCCCTCTCCAGGCCTCACACCCTGGCTGCTCAGGCTGCACTCAGGCGTCAGCTAGAAAGGCAGGGCTGAGCAGAATGCACACTGGACAGGATGCCCCAACCCCGTGTGTGGGCACAGCTGTGCACATATGATTTATGTGTGTGCTGACCTGTCCCACTACCCAGGCTCCACTCGCTCAAGCATCCTGAGCATGATCATGCCTAAGGACCCTGGAATCCTTCGTTCCAGAATCACCATGCTGTGTCAGGTGCGGTACCCCATCTCTGAGGGCCTACTCAGGGTTAGAGTTAGGGATGAGTTCCTGAGCCACAGGACACATGGCCGTCTCTACACTCTGCTGCAGGGACAGCACTCGAGGATGCACAAGAATAGCTGTGTAGTCAAGAGTGCAGCTCAACAGAAAGGAGGCATCACACCCAGGCCACACACACGCACAAGAGCCTCAAGAGAAGCCAAGTTAGGCCAGCAGCACCACTGAGCTAAATCCTGGCCCTTGAGAAGCCAAGTCAGGAGATGAGCAAATACTATAAACAAGCACTTTTCCAAAGAGGAAGCACAGCCAACATGCATTTGAAATTATACTCAGCTCAGTGCCAATCAGGAATTAGTGTTACTTCAACAGCCAGACACAGGCTGTTTCTGGCTCAGCAGAGGGTGATGGAGAGGAGCACCCTCCTGCTCACTGTGTGCGTGTCCTTGCCAGGGAGACCCTCACTCTTCATTCTCTGCAGGCATGGAGAACCACACAAAAAGATGTTCAGAGCACAGCTGTTGTTGGTACAAGTGAAAAATGAAATGCCCACTTGCTTTTCAAAGGGAAAGGTCAGATACTCTTAAGTGAAATAAATCAGCACACACATTTAAATACTGCATCATTTCACTGGTGTGAAAAACCAAAAGTAAGCAGGGTGTGGTGGCGCATGCCTGTAATCCCAGCACCCAGGAGGCTGAGGCAGGAGGATCTCTGTGAGTTCAAGACCAGCCTGGGATACACAGTAAGTTCCAGGTCAGTCTCAACTACATAGTGAGACCCTGCCTCAAAAAAACAAAATGAAAGTGGAAATAAGGACTAAATGTATAACAGACATTGGGAAATGGGGAAAAAAATGTTCAAATGGGAAGGGGAAAAAAGGAGGGGTGAGGGAGAAAGATCAAGAAAAAAACTAAATATAGAAGGAAAAAACAGAAACAAAGATTTGTATACAGGGAGAGGAGGGGGACTTGAAGAGAGGGGGGAAATGGGGAAAAAAGAAGAGGCAGGATATATCATGTACAGGTGTAAACTCCCTATGATGAGTGTTATCACTGCATATATCTGAAATGTACCAATAAATATTTTGCTTAAAAAAAATAATAAAGGGCTGGGGATTTAGCTCAGTGGTTCTGCCACCTGCCTCACAAGTACAGGGTTCCAAGTTTGATCCCTGGTTAAAAAAAAAAAAAAAAAAAAGATGATAATAATAATAAAATGTCAAAGAGAAAGGCCCAATGAGCAGACCGGGAGGAACAGGAATATATGACACACAAATTAGTGCAAACTAAACAAGAAAAACAGCAGTCTGTAAGTAACACACACACACTGAGATACTCGTACTTAAATACACAGAAGTATACCACACTGTCACAAAGACGTACCTTTAATTTTTATTTCATTTGAAAATGAAATGAAGTCTCACTATGTAACCCAGGCTTCCCTTGAACTCTGGACATTCCTACCTCAGCCTTCTGAGTACTAGAATTGTAGCCATGTACCACCACTCCTGGCTGACATATAATTTAGACTGCAGGGATCAAATTCTGAGGTGACATTCAACATTCAAAGGAGTCCCAGGAGGCCTCACCCCAAGAGTGAGGAGAAACAAAAGGGGCACCCACAGGCCAAAGAAAGCCAAATGTGCTCCCAGAAGTCAAAGTGGGGCCCCTGCTAGGGACACAACTCAGGTGTGCCAAAGCTCCTTTACTGCCCAGGCTTCCTTGGAGCACAAGAAAACAGATGGTGACTCTGCCACAGCACAGCCTTGGCACAGTCTGAGAAAGAAAATGAGATGGGCGTGGTGGTGCATGCCCGTAATCCCAGCACTAGGGAGACTGAGGTAGGGAGACAGCTTTGAGTCATCCCCCTACCCTACTGTATAGTCTGGCTACACAGTAAGTTCAAGGCCAGCTTGAACTATATAGCAATGCCATGTTTCCAAAAAGCCCCCAAAAGCTGGGCATGGTGGCGGTGCACGCCTGTAATCCCAGCACTCGGGAGGCTGAGGTAGGAGGATCACTGTGAGTTGAGACCAACCTGGGCTACATAGTGAGTTCCAGTTCAGTCTCAACTACATAGTGAGACCCTGTCTCAAAAAACCAAAAAAAAAAAAAACCCTCACAGAGAGCAACCTACCCAGGACCCTGACAGCTTCACCTTGTCCAGCCCTTCCGTGACAGCGTTGTACTTTGGTCACACCTTGGATGGTTTCTGCGCTCTCCATCCTATTCCACCTGTATGTCCTGCTATGGTTTAGATCTAAAATGTCCCCCACAAAGCCTCATGCATTCAGAGGTGGGGCTCAAGGAAAGTAGGTGGTTATGGGGGCACTAAATGTGCTGCTAGGAGGTGGGGCCTGGTTCCAGGGGTCACTGGGGCATGACCTAGAAGGGCATGTTCTTGCCCAGCTCCATCCTTCTCTCTTGGCTTCCTGGCTCCCATGGGTCGAGCCATAGCTTTCCTCAACCACGCCCTCTCAACAAGCTGTTTCTGCCCTGGAGCCAGCTGTTAATGGACTGAAACCCTCTGAAACCATGAACCAAATAAACCTCTCCTTATATTTTTGTGTTAGGGCTAGGAATTTAGCTCAGTGACAATGCACCTGTCTGGCAAGCACAAGGTCCTGAGTTTGATTCTTGGTACCGAAAAAAAAAGTTAAATTTTTGTGTTAGGTATTTTGTCCCATGATGGGAAAGTGAATAATATACTATACCACCACCACTATGGTAAATCTGGAAACCAGCAGCTCTTCCACCTAACTCTTCTTTTAATAAATTGCTTTTAGCTAGTCTAAGAACTTTGCCTTTTCGGATAAATTTAGAGTAAGACTGAGTATGTCTAGAGCTTTGCTGGGGTTTGACAGGACTGCTGAATCTTCAGCAACACTGACCTGAAAGCCAGGGTGGGGCTGTCAGGAGAGGGGGCCTGAATGCTCCAGGAGCAGGAGCACAGGGGTGCAGAGCTGCACAAAAGCCACCAGGAAGGCAGAAAGAAGGGTCAGAACATCCAATGTCAAAGCAGGGAAATTTCAGGAAAGCAGCAGATGTCAAGGGCTCAGAAACAGGACTGAGAACAGCCTCACAGATGTGACAATCTGGACCTGTCCCCAGGAGAGTGGTGCCAGCAGAGAGGGAGGATGTAGCTGCCAAAAGACAGCTAGGAAAGGTGGAAACCTTAGAATAGGGGTAGCACAGAACAAGATGGAAGTATGAGATGGGGCTGAGGCTGGCAGGACAAGGCTGCTCCTGAGGCCCCACCCCATCCATTCCCTCAGGCTGCCCTCTCTTGTTCCTGCTGTGTCCAGCTCTTCCCCAGCAATAGCTCATGCTAGTTCTATGAAGGGAGGTGCCATCTTGTCACAAAATAAAATGTTCACTATTAATTTGAAAAATATTAAAAAAAGGTAAAATAGGGGCCAGGGATTTAGCTCAGCGGATCGGTGGCCTGCCTTGCAAGCACAAGGACCCGAGTTCAATCCCCAGTACCAAAAAAAAAAAAAGAAAGAAAGAAAGAAAAAAGTTAAAATAAAACCAGCATAATCTCATTTGTTTGAGACAACTATTACTACTCATTTTTGGTATATGTTTTCTAAGCTTGTTAAAAATAGCTGGGTGTGGTGGCACATGCCTGTAATCCCAGCACTTGGGAGGCTGAGGCAGGAGGATCACCATGAGTTTGAGACCAGCCTGGGCTACAATAGTGAGTTCCAGGTCAGTCTCAACTGCATAGTGAGACCTCGTCTCAAACCCAGGCAAATTTAGTTAGGACTTGAATGTTATTGCACCAAATACTTTGAAGCCTGCCTTGCACTGCATCTCTAGGAATTCATTCTCCAGGAACTCCTCATGCCACAAGGGCCATACACACCTCACTTATACTACCTACACCCTGCAGAAGGCTCCAAGGCCACCTCCAACGGCTGTCACTGTCACCATGTCACCCTAACACCCCAACATGTGGATGCGCGTGTGAAGACTAGCCTCCAGGACAGACTGGCCCAGAGCACGATTCCCAGGGCAAGGTAGCATCCCTATTAAGGCCAGCAAACCACCAGCCTAACTATTCAAGAGAATATGGCTATTTTATTCTTAAAATAGCTCTCCAATGACCATCCAAAGCAGTGGTTTGCTTCTTTCCTTCCTTTTCTACCCCCATCCTCTTTCTTTTGGGCTGGGAATAAAACCCAGGAGCTCACCACTGGACTACTCTAACCAAAGCAATGGTTCCCAAACTCAAGTGGCTCTCCTACTGAAATCTTTTTATTTTTCAGACAAAAATTTCATCATGTAGCCCAGAAAGCTTCAAATTCATGATCTTTCTGCCTCAGCCATCTGAGCAATAGAGTTAAAGGCATGCACCACCACACTCAGCTTCCTGATAAACTGTCACACAAAAACTTCACCCATGGGCAGACAAAAGCCTGCTACTCATCTAAACTCAGGCCTGGTACCTGGGGAGCCAATGCCCAACCCACCTGGCCAGCACTGTGCCCTGGGCTGGCCTGTGGGTCATTGATCACAGGTGAATTACCGACCTGGTCCAAAGTCCAAGGCTACTGCCACGTCCCTATAGCCCCTTGGAGACTTGCTGGCCATTGAGGCCAATCGTGTGAAAGATACCAAGAATCCAAGATGCATCTAGTGACTTGAGGGGTCAGGCCACCAGGTCAGCCCCTGTATCCTAAGCAGTGGGTGCTCAACCCCATGAGAGGCCTCATCTTGGCTCAGACTGATCTGAGGATCACAAGACACTGAAAGTGCCCAGCACCAAGAAGGCCTTCTTGAAGATATTCCCACTGGTCTTACAATCAGTAGAAGAATATGGCTACATTTTACTGCTTATCCCATTTTTTTTTCCCAGCTCCAAATGACACAACACAGATACTTACAGACACACCAGTAAAACCAAAATGAAGTAGGTTCCAAGTAAGTCCAATTTAACCGCTGTTATGTCTGAAATAGGAAGGCTGTTACTTATTAATAAATGTTTAACAGCCAAGTCTATACAGAGTATGTTCTACTCACCTTCATAAGGGGTCATCTCAGGGCCTCGGACAACATAGTGCCTAACGGAGAGAAGAAAATTACGTGAATTTGGGGACTGCAAATCCTCTAAAACCAGTCACTCCAAAGCTAGAGTTTGCCGGACCAGCCAGGACCATATTCAGCTAGTGAAGAGCTGCAGGACACAGACCACAGGACAGTGGTAGCCTTGGACTCCTGTCCTGCAGGCATGAGGCACTTCACAACAGCATCCTAGAAATGCAGAATGCATGTTCTACACTGCCACAAAGTGCTTTTGCTCCCACAACACAACATGCAAGAAGTTTGTCTTTAGCCATTAACATTAACTTTAAAAAATTTTCAAAATACATCAAGATGTACTTTAAAACTTATGCATAAAAATATGTAACTTCTATTTTTTGTATTATGTACATAGGCTAGACAGGGCACAGCTGGTGATGTGGAGTTGGTCCTGTGTGTCACCTCCCACCGTGCAGATGTTCCTGGAAGAAACATAAATACCTTCAGAAAAGGAGCAGGGGCAACTTATGAATAACTCTCCCAAAATCCAAAGTCCTCACACAAACACCACAGATAAGAAGCAGCAGCAAAGAGATTATATTATCCCCATGTAAATAAATGAGGTGATAGCTTTAGGTGAGCTAAAGGTGCTTGGACTTTATAAGTTCTCAAACAAAACAGAAGAGCACAAAGCAGGTGAGACTTGGCAGAAACACCAGCAACTGCAAATGCCTGGTTATCAGCTTTCCAGAGACCTCTTCCCACCAGAACACACATGTACATGATTTGGGGGGGAGGGTACTGGGGATCAAACTCGGGTCCTTGCACTTGCGAGGCAGGAGAACCACTGGGCTAAATCCCCAGCCCTTCATAATTTTGATAGAAATGGGATCATGACACCTACGCCAACTGCTAAATTGCCCATTATTAAGAAGAACTGATTCTAGGACCAGTGATCCTTTACATCAGGGCTATCAAAACCCACGGATGAGCACTCACTCAGGTCCCTCACATAAAATGAATTGTTCGCATAGAACCCACAAACATACTCTCACACAACTTAAATCATCTCTACACTACTTATAATACCTAAAACAATGAAAATAATGCATTAACAGTTATATGTGTGGTTTAGGGAATAAGGACACACAAAAAAAGCCATTATACATGTTCAACACAGACACAATTTTTTTTCATCTGAGTCTGAAGAATTGACAGATACAGAGGACCAGCTATACTAAAATATATCGTTGCCATTTGTGTCAAGAGGACCAGGAACAACCAGGTAGCTTAGAGAAAGCACAAAGAACAGCAGAACATCACCTCATGTGCTCCTGCTCCAGTCACTGTGTCCAATCTGAGCAAACCAGGAAGAGGCAGGGACAAGAGCTCCTTTTGACCCAGCCAGCAGCCCAGCCAGAGATGGGCTCACTACACCCAGAAGGCAGAATAACTATGGTTCCCAGATCATCACAGCACCTGTCCAGCAAAATTTGATTTTTTTTTTTTTTCGACAGGGTCTCACTATGTAGTTGAGACTGACCTGGAACTCACTATGTAACCCAGGCTGGTCTCAAACTTACAGCAATCCTCCTGCCTCAGCTTCCCCAAGTGATTACAGTTGTGCACCACCACACCCAGCTCAAAGTTTGATTTTTCGCTCAGCCACAGGGGCGGTGTGGAGTTACCAAACAAACCCAGCACTGCTGTCTAAACTCAGCTCCACCACCCTGATCAATGAGAAGGGCAGAAACAGTGTGGCTTTAGCACACTCCTTCTGAAGACTAGAATTCTGGTGGATGCCAGGCAGAGAGCTGCCTACATAACCAGCCCCATTCTGATATATCAGGTTCTCTTCCAATAAAGGCTGGGTGCCAGGTCTCTAGTGGACAGTTCACACTCTGAATCCCAACTTGTCACTGGGGAGTTAAGTGCATCGCCATGAGACAGCCCAGAACAAGGGACCTGGACACCCATGTCTGCCTCCTATGGAGCTGGTACCATAGGCCTCTTCCCTTGCTGATTTCACCCTCTTTTCACCATAATAAATGCTACCAGTGACTCCTCCAAGCACATGGGTGAACCTGAGGTTGTCTTGGGGACCCCCTGACCCACAGACTCACACAGGGAAGGGTTTCCCATAGAGCACAAATGTTCCCAGTGATCAAGGAAGAGGTTAATCACCCATGCACTCTGTCCTCACATCTGCCAATTCTGTCCTAAGGGCCACAACTGATTTTCATCCTTAAGAATAGGGATATCCCTGATGCCATCCCTGGAATCCTCTACTGCCTGAGCTGAGCTTCCTCTCTAAGCCTTTGTTCTGGGAAGATGAGCCTCATCCAATCTGCAAAATACTTATTAACTCAGTCAATCTCTTTTCTCTGGATTTGAAAAAATGTCTTTTTTCAAGACAGGGTCTTATTATGCAGTTCAGACTGGCCTTGAACTCTCTGTGTAGCCCAGGCTTGCCTCAAGCTCATGGTGATCCTCCTGCCTCAACCTCCCTAGTGCTGGGATTACAGGCATGTGCTACCATGCCTGGCTAAAAAATATCTTTTAAAGATCAAAATAAATCACTTATCAACACACTTTTGAACATCTCAGCCTTGTATTTCATTCCTCATAAAATCTTCTGCACAGCTGGTAGTTAACATTTCCAAAGAGGTATATTTTTTTAACTCCACACTTTATTTTCCTTAAAATATTATTCTTATGAATATCAAATCAATAAAAAACTATACCAAAAAATGCAAATACATCAACTAAAAACAACAAAAAATGAAAGAAATTTAAATCTGTTTTCAAGGAAGTTGGGGAGGGAACTGGCTGTCTTTTTTTGGGGGGGTTCTGAAACAGGGTATAGCTATGAAGTTTAGGCTGGCCTTGAACTCATTATAATGTAACCCAGGTTGGCCTCAAACTCATGGGCATCCTCCTGCCTCAGCCTCCCAAATGCTGGAATTACAGGCTTGTGCCACCATGGTATGCCTATTCTTTTTTTTGTACTGGGGATCAAACTGAGGACCTTGTGCTTACAAGGCAGGTGGCAGAACCACTGAGCTAAATCCCCGGCCCTATTCTTAAAATCGTATCTTATTCACATGAAATGGTCTGAACCTAGTGAGCCATATTTTTCTAAAGTTCTATCTGCCAACTGGAAAGGTCCTACAATGTTGGGTTCTAAACATCTAACATAGAAACAAGAATTCTCGAGTTATCTGGTTTTTCCCCTTTTAGGTAATTTTATCTCTAACTGGAATCTATAGGTTCTAGGGTCTTACTTATGAACCAAAATTTAGGACACATACCCTGAAATTCCAATTATATTCCCAGGGACAATGGCTCATGCTAAAAATCTAGGGTAGCTGGCTATCGAAACAAGAGCTCTCTCAATGAATCTACTATGCAAGAGATTAAAAGAATTCAGTCCCAAGATTTTTTTGCACAATAATATTAACAGCAGAATTTAATCTGATTACACTTTAAAAACACAGTTCATTTTCAAATCAACTACGCAGGTGGAAGAGACTTCAGAGACTGACTCCTGAGACTGATGAGTCTTTTCATGCCTGTGGGACTTGTCTCAGCTCCTACCTCTACTTGTACAACTCTGCCCTTCAGAATGCTCTCTGCACTAGCTAGAATGTGCATTTGAGCTTTGCCCTCTGTCTGATCCCTGCTCTTGTCTTTTCTCACTTCCTCCCCTTGAGGACTTGTGATCATGTTTGAGTTTCTCCATCCCTTTCTGGGTCCTCAGTTCCACCACAGCAAAAAGTCCTGACTTCAGGGAAGCCTAGGTAGTACTTTCTCCCCACTCTGGACTTGGATTTCTGAGCTCTCTCTGAATTCTTGTGGCTGTGCTTTTTAGGGCCAAGGTCATCCTTTTCTTTTACTAACTTACTTCTGCGGGGGTGAGAAGGAAGATGGCTGCTCTGCCTGTACCTCCTAATCAGTCTGCTCTTTCTTTTGTTTTGTTTTTTCTTTCTTTTTTTCCTATCTTTGTGCTTCTTCTCTGGGTTTCTCATCTTCAGAACTTTCAGACAAACCCAGTAGGGAGATGTTAGCCCCACAGCCTTCCTCCTGGAGCTCTGTGGTCACATCATCCATTTCATCTGAGTCCTTAGGAGCCCATTAGTTACATACATGGTCCATGTGGATAGTTCTTCCTTTGATCTTAATTCCAACAAAAGTGTCAAAGGCCATGGGCAAGGGATTTAGCTCAGTGGTGCTGCTACCTGCCTCGCAAGCACAAAGTCCTGAGTTCAATCCCCCACTCCAAAAAAAAAAAAAGGGTCAAAACCCAGAATTATACTCCTCTGGTCTTCATAGCAGAGGAAACAGGGCCCTTTGGATTTCTGTGTCTTCTTGTGTCACATAAGATTAATGGTAACAAACTGTCTGTGTTGTGAGAACACAAAGATTATGTCCCCTCCAGTCAGCTCAAAAGGAAGTCCTCCTAGAATGATCCAGACCCTGTCCTTGTACTCAGAATGCCAGGAAACCTTAACTGTCAACTCCAAGCCAGATCTCCTGCTCATTCAGCTCATTGATCAGCCTCACCTTAAAGGATTCATCTTCTTGGGTTCTTGATTGGCACCAAGATGTCAGCTTCCCATCTAGGCTGTGTGGCACAGGCCTCTTTTATTTTTATTTATTTGTTTGTTTGGGGTTTTTTTTGGTAGCGGGGATCGAACTCGGGTCCTTGCACTTGCAAGGCAGGCCACCGAACCGCTGAGCTAAATCCCCAGCCCGTTTGTTTATTTTTGATAGGGTCTCACCATGTAATTCAGGCCAGCCTTGAACTAATGGCGATGATTCTCCCAAGTGCTGGGTTTACAGGTATGCACCACCATACCTGCCTTAACTCCACACTTTAACACAGCAAAAAGCTACCATGAAATGAATATTTTCCACAGGCCCTCTTGCTATCAACCTGAGAGCTGAGTATATGGCATAGGCCATGCCAGGAGCCGCATTGTCAGGAGCCTGTCACACATGTTCCCAGACAAGACAGGCCAATACCCAGTGTCCAGAAACAGTGCTGAGGAGCTTAGCTATGTAGTCTCATCTCAGCACTGACCTACAAAATGTACACCCTACAAAATGTATGTGATCCACATAGCCATGAGCCCCGTACACACAGAAAGTAGGACCCCCAGGAAGGAGTCTCTTTTGAGTCCTAGCCTAAGTCAAAAAGGACTCCTGTGGTGGCCCTGGTGTGTCACCTGGGAGAATCAAAGACCTCTCGGCTGAGGAGCTGAATGACTGCCTCCCCAGCATCATGACCAGGCCAGGTCAGCATAGCAAAAACAGGTGCAGGAGCAGTTAGTGGACAGACACTTACCACTCAAGGATGTTTGAAGGAAGGGGTTCAGCACAGATGTAAGGCACCGGGTCTTTCTTAATCCGAAGGTAGTCCTGCTTCAGCCTCTGGGTTGCTGTTGTCGGAGCTCTCTTGTTGCTGTTGCTGCTCATCTGTGGAAAACAAGTATTTCTACTTACAAAGAACAGAACAAAGGATGAACACACATCCCTTTTCTTACCCATAACTGGAGCTGGCAGGCACCTCTGCTTCCCTTGATGCTACCCTAAGATCCATATGGGCCCCAGACTCTCGCTCTTTTCCATTTACCTGCCACCCTCATTTATACCACGTTATTCAGCACCTTACACAAACACAAAGATGAAGAGAAGCATGAAGCCTCACTTCTGTCCTCAGGGGACTTACATGGATCAACACAAGTAATGTAATGGATCATGGGTATACTGAAGCCAGCCTGGTCTAGCCCCTAACAGTAACCACGCACATCTCCTGTGGACTTAATGCTGGGATGTTTACACCAAGGAAACTGGCAAATATCACAGACAAGTCCTATCCCCACCATCCCCATCCAGGAAGTCCGATCAACATTTACCACAGGTCACCAGTGACATCAGAGGGGATAGGAGAAGCCCTAAGGCTGCGAAGACAAGGACCTTCAAAATACCCCAAGGCACTCACTGTGCAGAGAGGAAAAGGCGAGCCTAGAGGACAGCATGTTACTATCTCAGAAGGCCAAGCACAGTCAAAGGTGAAGGATAAGACTGGCCATAAGAGACAAGACCAAGCTGCCAAGAAGTACCCAGAAGGGCTTGAGGACCCAGCCGCCAGGCAGTCAGATCTTCTGTTAGAAAAGTCACCCTGGCTGGGCATGGTGGCTCACACCTATAATCCCAGGACTCAAGAAGCTGAGGCAGGAGGACTGCCACCAGGCCAGTATGGACATTGTGAGGTCAAGGTCAGCCTGAATTACAGAGCAAGACCATGTCTCAAAAAAAAAGGAAAAAGAAAATGACAAAGTCACCCTAGGACTTGCATGGCACATACAGGACAGCACCAAGGGCTTTGTGTGAGAGATGAAACCATACTGTCATTCAAGAGAAGAGTCTGAAAAGAAGAGAGGAAAAGAAAAAAGAATCTGGATGGCAGACCAGGGGACCCTTGGCCATGCTCCAGAGGCTGAGGAATAATGAATGGGGTCACAGGGATCCTTTCTGACACAGATATTGGAACAGCAACTACTCATTCTCTTTTCATACCAGAATTTCTCATAATTTAAGGAAGACAAAAAAGCTCTGCAGCTAAAAATAAAGTGTGAAAAACAATGGTCTAAAATATGATAGAGAAAGGGGACACAGAAGAATACACAGGATGAAGAGGAAAGGAAGAACATATGAGCTTGGCTAGAACACAGAAAGCAGGCCTTAGGCAGTCAGAGAGCCAGCCACATCCTGTGAAATCCTCAGCTCAGATCTGTTCACTGAAGTCTCTTCCTTCTGCCACCAACATTCTGTCACTTTGTCCCCAAAGCATCTCACACAATACTCTCTGGCCAAATGCTTTAGGCAAGAAGGTCATAAATTTGAGGCCAGTCTGGAAAACTTAGCAAGATCAGGCCTCAAAATTAAAAAGTTGGGCATAGTGACACATCAATCCCAGCACTCAGGAGGCTGAGGCAGGAAGATCGTTGTGAGTTTACGATCAGCCGGGGCTACATAGTGAATTTCAGGTCAGTCTCAACTACATAGTGAGACCTTGTCTCAAAAAAAAAAAAAAAAAAAGTTAAGGATACAGTTCAGCACTCCTGGGTCCAATCAATCCCTAACATCTTCACATACATGCACATACACACTAACAACAATGGCCCTAGACTAGACATCAGTAACAGCCAGTGATCTCCATCCTGACCTACAATGAATACAAACCTGAAGGCAATCCCACATCATCCCAGCATCAGGGCCTTTACACATAGTTTCCTGCAGACAGTCATACACTCCTTCACAGGGGTGTGTGTGTGTGTGTGTGTGTGTGTGTACAGGACCATCACCGAGTCTGAAACTCTCAGCCTCTTTAGCCTGGTTTATTTCTACACAGAGCACCATCAGCATAGACTGCTGTCTGTCTCCCCCATGAGTGTTGGCACCTGGTAAAGACCAGGGCTTGGTGTGTGCTCACTCTGTACCCCAGGGCCTGAGAGGGGGCTCAACAGGGCAACCTGCCATGCTTCTCCCATATTTATGGCCTCAGCACCACACCCACTTCTGCTTCTCATTGGGAGCCCTGACCCTTGAGACCTTTATTTACTTTCTTCTCATTCCCATTCCACTACACTAATGCTGGACCTCAAACTTTCCCTGTCAAATTGCAATAGCTTCCAGGCTCTTCCCATTTCAGCCTATCTTGGATTAATGCAGTTTGATCATTTACTTCTCCCAAATAAATGCTCATCAGGATCATGCTATAGCCAAATAGATAATATTAACAGCTTCCCTATCTGCCACCTTCTCAAAGCAGCCCGTCAGCCCTCCTAGCTTCCAAGGCCACTTATATAGCTCACCCCACTTATCCGTCCTCATAGCTACTGGACTTCTCAGCCCAGTCTGCACTTACAGGCCCTTCCCTACCTAGCTTAGGCTGCATCCCTCAGAAGCCTCTCAATTTCTCTAGTCAAATGCTCTCTTTGTCCTTTACCACCAATGCAGCCCAAAACCATACCACATGCGAGCATTTCAGGCTTCAAACAAGGCAAGAACAGACTCTTCTACCCGAACCATCCATCCCAAAAGGGCCTGCACTGAACCAGAGTTATAGCTCTGCCACCTGGAAAAGGAATGCTCCCACACAGTACTGCCCCCAAGCTCTTGGCGTGATAAGCCATGCACGTCAGGGAGGCCAATTCATGTCAACACCTACTATGAAACACAGATCATCTAAAGATCCCACAGGCAGAACCATCACACAAAAGCAATTCTTTCTCAGCCAGTGGGGTGGTCCACATCTGTAATCCCAGCACTCAGGATGCTGAGGCAGGAGGATCACCGTAAGTTCAAGGCCCACCTGGGTTACCTAGTAAGTTCAAAGACAGCCTAGACTATATAGCAAAACCCAAAAAACAAAAATAAACAAAACCAGTTCTTTCTCTTAAATGGTCACTACTAGGGTTAGCACCCCATCATGTGCAAAATAATTCACTGTGTAATTCAAATGCAAGTGTTTGGACTCAGCTAGGTGGAAGTTAGTGGACAACCACACAAAACAAGTAAAATAAGTTCTGTCTAGTCAGTCACAAGGCAAACTTCTCTATCACATTAGCTTTTTTTTTTTTTTTTTTTTTTTTTTTTGCAGTGCTGGGCTGGAACCTAGGACTTCACACATACACACATACTAAGCAAGCACTCTACTACTGAGCTACACCAGCTACACCTCCAGAACCATACTTGTTCTTTGACACACAATCTTCAAAGTCATATCTATAATTCAATTTCCACAACTACTCCTCACTCAGAACACAACGCTCGTGAATGTCCCAGGAGACTGCTTCTCTCAAATTCTCCTTACTCAAAAAGGAGAAAAACCTTGTAGGAATCAAAATGTCCAACAGTAAGAAACAGTGTGTCCCTCAGGTTCACTCCCAAACAAATCCTTACAGAGAATGTAGGTATGTTCTAAGGAATAAGACAGGAAACACACACACACACACACACACACACACACACACACACACACACGGCACAGATAAAAATTAACACATGGAAACTGACAGAAAGAACTCTGAGTTACCACGAAGGCCACAGGTCTCTCCTGTCGCTCGTCACCATGCCAAGGTGGTGGTTGATCATTCATTTTCCCCATTCCTTTCTCCTCTGGACATCTTTCTCTCACCAGTGCATATAACTCAGGTGATGTAGTGGTATAAAACCCTGACCTGACTGATCAGATGGGCATGTGACACACCCAGGCCCAGGTCTTCCTCATAAGTCTCTCCTCCAGGATTGCTCCACTACTGGAAGCCCAGGGCTAACAGGGGCAGCCCCACTACGATGCTCACAAACTCACAAACACACACACACACCTACCTTCGAATGAAGTTGGCACAGAGGTCACCTGTGTCAAGCTGTGCAGATTACTGATTGCAAGTGCTATGTTCAACCACGCCTGAAGTTTTTGCAAGGGTTTTTTTTAACTAAGTGAAACAACTGGATTCCTTTCTTTTGAAGTCCAATTACATCAAGTTTCACTCACCTGGAGTGAACAGAGCCCAATACCACTAGCTATAAATAAACATGCTTTCTCCACGCACTTCATAGCTGACTCCCTAATGGACTGGGTGGGCTCCCTCTTTAACTGTCTTTTTCCTGCGTCTGACAAAATGCTGAGAACTGGATTTGAGTTAATCGCCTAAGCGGTATTCAAAGAAAAGGAAGGTCATTAAAACTTGGACGGTGCTGAGAATACGCAGATGTGATCGTGCGACCGGTACAGTTAAGGGGTGGTGAGGACCTTTTGTTACATCAGTCGGGGGCACAGTCATGGGCATGATCGTTTCCGTTGGGAGTAGTGAAGCAGGTTGGGGTTCTAACTATACAGAAGTGAAGAAGCAGCGGGCTCAACGGCAGCGCCCATAACACGGACTCCCAGATACGTTCTCACAAACCAAGATCAGCGCAGGATCTTTCTGAAAGTGCCCCGGAACGTCCCGACGAACGGGGCCTCTTCGGGGAGACCCTGCCGCGCAGCCGACGGAGTCCATGCTCCCGGCCTGGAGCCCGGGCGTCTGCCATTAACTGTCCTGGGTACGCCCGCGGGCGCAGGGCAGCGCGAACTGAGCGGCGTGCGGTGGCCCCCGCGTCCCCCGCAGTGGCCGGCGGGGCGGACTAGCGAAATCAAGGCCCCGGCGCAACCCTCGCGTCCTCACCTCTCCCTGTCTCCGCAGGTGGGCCTCCGCAGCGCTCAGGCTCGCCGCGGTCGAGGCCGGAGCAGGGTGAGGAAGAGTGGCCGGTGCCAGAGAGCGACACCGCTCCAGGAGGGAGGCCACCAGACCAAGCCGCCGCAACCAGCCGCAGGAGCCCGCCGCCACAGCCGCCTCAACTTTCAAGATGGCCGTCGAGGGGCGGCCTCTGGGCCGCTTCCGCTTCCGGTTCACGATGCACGGTGGTTGGCCGCTCTAGGCACGTTGGAGGACGGTGTCGCCGCTTCCCTCCGCTAGGTTGCCCAGTGCGGGGGCTCGAGGAGACAGTAGGAGCTTGCGCACTGGCGAACCTCACAGTGGTTCACACCGCACCCGCCCCTCTTGGGCCTTACCACATCGCTTCCTGGTCGTCTGCCTTCCTGACCATCGCAGGGAGCCAGACTCTTGTGTCCCCCCGCTTTTTTTTTTTTAATTGAGACAGGATTTCACTATTGGAGTTAAGGCTGGCCTTGAACTCACTGTGTTGCCCAGGCTGACCTGGAACTCGCGGTGATCCTCTCCTGCCTCAACCTCTCCAGTGCTGGGGTTACAGGCGTGTACCACCACGCCCAGCTCTTAACCAAGGGTATGGGCAAGGGTCCATCCCGAAGACCCTTGCCCCACGGCCCCCGGGCATCACAGGCCTGGCCAGTGCAGCAACTCCCTGTCAGACGTCCCAGCTGTCCTCATAAAAATAGTTGCAGTGTTTCCCGGGGGAGCTTCCTCCCAGTATGAATGGGGTTATTATGCCATGGATGCGGCTGGCCTTCCGCTCCCACGCCACTCCCTAGCTCTGGGGAGGGGAGGACAGGAGAACACAGTATGCCTGAGCCTTGCAGTCCCAGGGGTGCTCAAGGATATGCTCATGTTGGGGACACAAGCTGTCACATGCGGGGCTCACCTTCTGGGCCTAATGTGGAGAGCGACAGGAAGTGGCGGGACAATGGCAACTGAATGAGGAGAGGCCAGGGTGGCTACAGTGAGTCCACAGCCCACCATCTTTCTCAGGAGGCATCTGAGGACTGGGCTGAGTAGGAGTAGGATGTGCCCTTGGGCTGCCCTGTGTGGCAGGGCCAATTATCAGCCTTTTGTAAGGTGGGAACTGCACATCCATATCCTTCATCCTGATCCTGATTGCCCCTCAGGATTGACCTTGGTCACTAGGGTGGCTGACTGCAGACAATTGAGACCAACACCCACTGTCTAGCAAAGACCACCGTGATCATCCAAGTCTGGCCCACCTGGGGCCCTTTTTTGTTTGTTTTTGGTACCAGGGATCGAACTGAGGACCTTGCTCTTGCAAATCAGGCGGCAGAACCACTGAGCTAAGTCCCTGGCCATCCTGGGGCACTTTTGTAGAATGTGGGTGGCTGTGGTAGGGCTGACCCTTGGGCCCTGTGCAAGAACCTTGAGTGTTCATACAGCCATCAGTTCAATGTGGGGAATTACTCATACAAATCCATTCTTTTTCTGTTCCTGCCAGCCCTGGGGCCTCCCTTCCAGTGCCTCTCTCTCTTCGGACCAGAGGGTGCCCTGAGCATTAGTCGGAAGGTGGAAAGTTGGGTAAGGAAGAAGGCTACAAGTGTAGTTGTCCTGGATACCTCAGGCAAATCTGTGGAGACAGCAGCCAGACCAGACCTCAGACTGCAGCTGCTGATAGGGAGAGGCTCTCTCCTAGCTGACTTTTTGCACGGGAGATGGAGACACCAACTCTGGGTGCCAGGAACAGAGGTAGGGAGGCTGCAAGGGATGCTCAGCTCAGAGGCCCTAGCATTACTCCCAAGCCTCCTGATCACTGAGCACACCTGAATCACACCTGGAGACCAGTGAGAGACAGGTGTGGTCAGTCGGTCCTGCCAACCACCACAGCCCAACCTCCACCTACATACCTGTGACCTTCTATCTCTAAGACTTAGAAGCCAGACAGGAAGTGGGCAACTAGGCTGGGAACTGGGTGTCCTCAGACCCCAAAGGCACCCTTCTGTAGCAGGAGGAACTTCTTGTCAGCCAACACTATGGGTGGCTGGGCTGCAAGAAAGGGACTGCAGGCCAGGCCTCATCATATTGTTCCAAGGCCGTCCTCAGTGTGGTAATAGCTTTCAAAAGATTAAGAAGGGTTAGAGTCAAGAAAATGTGCCCCAGTGGAATCAGATCTGCCCCTGAGAGATTATCTGGCCAGAACCTAAGGGAAGGTCCCAGAGAATATCCTGGAGGTGATCCAGTAGTACACTTGCACACGCACACACACACACACACACACACACACAAAACCTTCACCCAGCAGGAGGCATCTGGCCAGACCCCGAGCTCCACACTCTTGCCATTTGCAACTCAGAAGCCTCAGTGTTGTACCGCGGCACACTGCCACTAGTGTGGTTAGTACATAAGTGTCTACAGAAGGCCCCTCTTCTGCTTGGGGTCAGGAACCCCACCAAGGCAGCCCCCAGCCCAAGAGGGACTACCTGGCTCCCCAGGAATCTTGACCTTCTGTTCACATCTCTGCACAGAACCCTCCCAGGGCCTCTCTGGGATTCCCCTGAGGATGGGGACACCCACAGGGAAGGAAATTGAGCCTGGAGCAGGATATCCAGCCTGGGGCCCCCAAAATCCCCCAGCACCTGCAGCCCTCAAAGCAGCCCTGTCCTGGAGGGACACTGCCTGGCCCTATTGCCCCAACGCCAATGTCTCAAGGCATGTCGGGGGTGTCCACGGGCTCAGCAGGCTGGAAGCAGCATCCTTCCAGGAAGAGTGCAAACGTCCTGGTCTGAGGAGAAGGGACTTTCACTCATCTTTTCTTTTCTTTTCTTTTTATTTTTTCCAGTACTGGGGATTGAACTCAGGGCTCTAAGCTTGCAAGGCAGGTGGCGGCATCACTGAGCTAAATCCCCAGTCCTCATCCCTTCTTTTCTCCTTCTTGCATCCTTCAGGTCTTTCAACATAATGCTATGTGGGGTTTTCATTGATATTTTGTCTTTTCAGTTTGTTTTTTTCCACTGGGTGTTGAACCTAGGGCCCTTTACCCTGAGACTGTGTCTCCAGTCCTTTTTAAATTTTGAGATAGCATCTAAGTCACTAAATTGCCCAGCTGGGCTCCAAGTTGGTGGGTGATTCAGGCTCCCAAAGTACTCGGATTACAACAAGCATCTCTGACCATATCCAGATTTTTTTTTTTTTTTTTTTGGTACCCGGGGATTGAACTCCAGTCCTTGCACTTGCAAGGTAGGCCACCGAACCGCTGAGCTAAATCCCTGGCCCCATATCCAGCTTTATAAAAAATATATATACACTGGGGGATGAAGCCAGGTCCTTCACACTGAGCTCTGAACTACATCCTCCACTCTTATTTATTATCTTACTTTGTGACAGTCTTGCTAAGTCACTAAGTTGCTCAGGTCGGGTTTCAACTCACAACTCTCCTGCCTCAACCTCCAAGAAAGCTGGGAATACAGGTACGTACCACCATGCTGGGCTTCCACATATAGTTATTAATGACTTCAAAGAGGACACCCCTGTGCAACCCCAGCCCACATCTCCTATTGAGGGCTGGTGGGGTCAAGGGAGGCAGGTGAGGGCCAGGCCAGAAGAGAGGAGGACATTCCAGCCTCATTGGCACTGGACAGGTACTCTGGGACCACCCCAACTCAGCAGCCCAATTGCAGGGCACAGGACATGGCCCCTTCCCTTGGGGCTTTGGCATTTCCTGGAGGGGTTTCCCTGGAGGAAGCTGAGCCAGCCCTGCATGATGCTGCCCTGTGCGCTGTGACTCAGGCTCTGTAGGGCACAGGTCATGGAGGGCAGGCCTCTGCCTCAGCTCTGCTTCCCTCCCTGGTCCCCCCACAGCACCTCATTGCCTGGATATGACTGTGCCAGCCCACAACCAACCAAGCTCCTGGGCCTCCACCTCACAGGCACAACCCCTCCAAAGGAACATGGCTTGGTGTGGGGGCCGGGACCCTGGGCCTGTGCTAAGTCTGGGGTCCAGCTCCAGCCACACCAGCTCTCCCACCCGCTGAGCCTCAGGAATGAAGAGTCACCTCAGCCTCCAGATGACTTGAGGAAACAGGCTGAGAGGTTGAGTAACTTGGGCACAGTCACACTGCCAGTGGGTGACAGAGCTGTAATTCACACCTGGTGGGGACAAGTCCAGTTCTTCCCCAGCGTAACTTCCCTTTTCACAATGTCACAAGCAGCCACTGCCTCCATCCAGAACCATGGGGCTGATGACAGCGCAGCTCCTTGGAGCTGAGGCAGGGGTGTGGGGGGGGCAGAGGGCTCTCTCCCTCATCCCAGCTGGGTCCATAGCTTTAAACCACAGTGGGTGACAAAAGCACAGAGCCTACCCTGGAGAGTGCACAAAGAGCTTGAGCCCACCCCACACCTGGGCCAGGCTGGGGTCAGGGAGGCCACTGGACCATTCTGGGGGGGTCCATAGTAGGGATGGGTGGTGGTGGGAGGTCCTAGGGGCAGGAATTTGCACCTGAGTGTGAGACTCGGACTTGGCATGTATGTGGCCATGCTGTGTGCTGGGGTCTTAGCACAAGCTGTGCTTTTAGCATGCAGTGTGTGGTCCTAGCATGTGATGTGTCATCTCAGTGTGTGGTGCCATCAGAGGAGACCTCAGTGGGGGAGCCTCACTCCCTCAGGGCACTGAGTGCCACCTGCACACCCAGGCCCCAGGATATTCTCACAATAGCACTCGTCCCCTGGCTGCCTGACTGCTCCCAGGGAACACCTGTGTTCTGGGAGTGGAGACCCCTACCTGGTGTCCCTCAGCCACACACACCTGTGGTCAGGGTGGAGGTATAAGCTGGGCAGGCAGTGGCAGACAGCTATCGCTCTAGGGTCCAGGGCATGCCAGGCTTGCTGGGAGTCTGAGACAGGATATCCAAGGGGGCCCTGGCCCAATGCAGACCTCCTTTCCCCTATGGGGCCTGCTGTCCCATACCCCAGCCAGGGACAGGGAGCTCCACCCAGTTGAGGGACCCTGCATCTCTGCCTTCCCAAGAATTTACCTCCTGGGCCCAGAGCGGGTGTGGCTACCCTGCAGCTGGGCCCTCCCTTGGCACCCGCCCCACGCTCAGCAGCAGGTCATAAAGGAGGATGTCTGGCCATATCCAGCTGTGTTACCTGCTGGAGCTGCCACTGTGTATGCTGGTCGAGCGCAACACCAGGATGAGGATGGAGCTACTTGCAGGGGAAGGCCCCAGCCTTGAGGTACCAAGGTTGCTTGGTGAAGGTTCTCTCCCTCTCAGTTCCCGAGGGTCACATGGGGCCCCCTGTGGCAATGGGGGCTTGTGGTCTCTCCTGTCTTCCTGGCCTGAAATGCAGGGCTGTACTCCATCTGGTGGTGCCCAGGGGGCAGAGCCCCCAACAACATTACAGTTTGTGGGGGCAGCCCCTGGGTGGGGCACAAGACAGTGTGTGTCCAAGTGCCAACCACCATGCAGGACACATGAGTTCGAGCCATACATGTTGGTCACACCACATGTGCACAGAGCCAGGCAGGGAAGAGAGGCTGGTGCAGTGTTATCTCTATGGGATGAGGGCAAAAGGTCTGGGCAGCTCACACAGGCTGGGCTCTGGACCCTCCTGTCACATGGCCCCCTAAGTGAAGGTTTGGTATGTGTTGGGCAGACTCCCAGCATTTGTGAGTGCACACGTGTGTGCTAGTACATGTGCTTGTGTGCACCCATGGGAGTGGCCTGGGTCCATGAGGGCAGCTCTGGTGGCCAGACCTGCCTGTGACTCAAGCTCTGTCTCAGGAGTCTGGGCCCTGGCCAATCACTGAGCAGTCCTGGGGGCTCCTGCTGCTCTTCTGAGACCCTCTCTGGATTACACTCTTCTCTGGGGCCTCTGCCTTTGCCTCCCCATAATGTGCAGCTGACAGTCCTGCCTGTGGGGCTCAGCATGACACGTAACACGTGTGAGCAGAGCCTGCACCATGCCCAGCAGCACTGGCCAGGCTACTGCAGGAAATCTGGGGGCCACAAACCTGAGAGAAGGGGCCTTGGATCAGCCACTGTGCATTCAGGATCCCCTGAAGCTGGCTGGCTTGCTCTGCCATGTGTGTCCCCAGAGCACTGATCAGCCTGCTGGACCACACTTGGTGGGCATGGGCTGACTGGGTGGCAGCAGATACCTACCCAAGGCTGGACCCTGCAGGCTACACCTGGGCACCTGAAGACTTTCTGATTCATCCCAGGATGGGGGCAGTGCAGAATATCTTTATGGATCTTGTTCACTGATTCAGAGCCTGTCAGACCCTGGGGTACCCAGGGACCCAGTTGTCCATGTTGGGAAGCTGGGTTCTGGGCATGTCCCAGGACACTGGAGCCCAGGACAAGATTGGGGGTGAGGCAGTCAATCCAGGCCCAGCAATAGTTTGATCTCCTGAGGACCCCAGGTCCCAGAGCTGGCTTGCTGGCTCCTGGGCCCACCTGTCCTGAAGCCTAAGGTCTTTCCTGAATACTTATCCAGCAAGACAATGCCCCACCCTGGGCTCTCAGTGCTGAACAATATTACCAGCTTGATTGTGCCAGTCATTTTTTTTTTTTTTTTTTTGGTACTGCGGATCAAACTCTGGACCTTGTGCTTGTGCAGCAAGCGCAGTGCCACTGAGCTAAATCCCTGGCTTGCCAGTCCCAATCAAATCAGCCACCCTGGCTGCTGGGGATTGGTGGAGGCCACTGAAACCAGGAGATAGTCTTCCCCAGAGCCCCATTCTACAGGGCCAGGCTCAGGGCCCAGAAACATAACACAGCAGCTCTTCCCATGCAGGTCACCTGGGCCTGCCCCTCCGCACAGGCCTCTGCCCCACTCTGGGGTGCCAGCCCAGATTTGCCTAGCTTCAACCCCCCTGCAAGCATCAGACCTCTGCAGTCTGCTGCCTACTGCGGAAGCTCAGCTCTGGGCCATGATAAGACATGACCGCAATGGGGGTATCCTAGGAGGAAGGGTACAGGGTTGGTCCCAAGTGGGGACCAGTCTAGGATGGGGCCTCACCTGAGTGTCCCTAGTGTGTGTAGAGACAGAGGATGGAAGGAAGCCAGGCCCCAGGTGGGGAGCCCTAGCTGGCAGGTGCAGGCTGGGCTGGGCGGGAGGAACCTGGGTGGCAGGCAGGACACTGTTAAGGTTTGCTTCTTGGATACAGGCTAGAACTATGGCCCAAGCAGCCAGCACACAGTCTGAGACCTTGGAGACTCCCCGGGGCCAGCCACCTATCCTGCCCCTGGTGCAGGGTCACAGGGAGAGGCTAGTGGAACTTCACACCTCCTTCAGGGAGCTGCTCACCTTCTTCTGCACCAACACCACCATCCACGGCACCATCCGCCTGGTCTGCTCCAGCCCAAACCGACTCAAGAAGGTGTCCTGGGGGCTGCTGCTCCTGGGCACCCTGGGGGTGCTTTACTGGCAAATTGGGTTCCTGCTGGAACAGTACTGGCGTTACCCAGTCATCATGGCAGTGTCTGTTCACTCAGAGAGCAAGCTTTTCCCATCTGTCACTCTGTGTGACATGAATCCACAAAGGTGAGGGCCTGGGGTATCAGCCTGAGGGGTGGGCTCCCCAACTCCTGGTCTCTGCAGCCTGGGAAATCTCCCTGGCCATGATCTTGGGCAAAGCCCCACTAGTCATTGATGACCCCATCTCCCCCACCCCAGTGCCTAGCCAGGACTTTTCAGAGCCACCCTGAAGGTCACAGGTGATGGGAGCCCAGGCTTGAGGGGCAGAAGCAGGCTTTCCAGAAGGGAAGGAACCATATGGGGAGAGGCTGTGAATTGCCTGGAGGACTCTGTGCCCTGGGGGCCAGACTAAGCTGGAGGTCTGATCTGAGCTCTGCAGCCTTGGAAGGCCAGGTCTAGCTCCCAATTCAGAGCCTCCTCCTATGTCTGAGGGAAGGGAATGGACACTGAGGTGCACAGTGCTGAGCGGTGGGGGATCCCGGGAGGCTCTCCAGGAATGACTAAGGTGACTGACACTGTGTCCCATGTCTGGCCCTGCCTCAGGCCCAGGTCCCTCCACCACCATCTGGAGGCACTCGATGCATTTGCCCAGGAAGCTATCTATTCACTCTACAAGTTCAACTTCAGCGAGGGCAGGGACACCCATTTGGCCAATATCCCTGGCCCCGAGCCACTATTCCAGCTGGATCGTAGGATCCGTCTGCAGCAGCTAAGGCACCTGGGCAGCCAGCACAAAGTGGGCTTCAGACTGGTGAGGAGGGGGGTCCTGGGCATGCTGCCCTGGGGAGAGGTGCTGGGGTAGTGGGGTACTGGCTGCACTGACTCTACACTCTCTCAGTGCAACAGCACTGGTGGCGACTGCTTCTACCACACCTACTCATCAGGCATGAAGGCTGCCCAAGAGTGGTACCATTTCCACTACATGGACATCCTGGGCCTGATACCCACCTCCAGGGAGGACAGCCACCAAAACCATTTTGTCTTGTCTTGTCACTACAACAGTGAGGACTGCCAGTCTCAGTGAGTGGGGCAGAGTTGGTGGGCCACTCCCTTAGCTCCACCCAGCAGAGCATGGTCCTACCTGGATCCAGTTGACCAGGTGCCAGGAGCTGGCTGCCCACAAACAGTACCCTGCAGAGATAAGGCAGGCTATGCCTCCTCAGACACGTGAGGGGGTGACAGGTGACAGGCACCTGTGGTCTGAGTGTGGCCCTGGGTTCCAGGCACTTCCGGATGTTCCACCACCCCACCCATGGCAGCTGCTACACCTTCGAGGGTGTGTTTGCCGCACAGCACCCAGGCATCACCCACAGTGAGTGCAAGCGGGCAGGAACACAGGGATGTAACTAGGGACAGGTGGGGGAGTTGGCCTCACACCTCCCCGTGGCCTCCACAGAGATCAGCCTGGTCGTCAGGAGAGAGAAGCAAGTGGGGCTCCCCCTGCTATCCACCGAGACTGACATCAAGGTCATGATTCACGGGCACAACCACACGCCCTTCCTGGAGCACCAAGGCTTTAGCCTCCGACCTGGGATTGAGAC